ATAAAATGTTAATGGCAGCAACATATATTCATTTAAATAATGGGGAAAGAATTATAAATACATACACATTAAAATAATCTGAAGAATCCCACATACATTAAGTTTTAAACAAGCCTAATACCTATTTTTTCTCTTTTTCTTGAAATTCAAGCTTAAGATATTTTGTCAATTGCCTTATGTCTATTTTAGGAATTAGACTACACTTCTGGCTCTTTGCTAATAGCAACGGCTATTTTTGAATATATAAACTTGTACAAGAGATGTAGAAGAAACAGCATCCCTCAGTTTTCAAGTGCACTCAGAATAATTGCAGTCTAAAAGTGCTTAGAAATAACATCTTGAAAATTTACTCCTGCTTTTATCAAGACACTGTATTATTGATTAACAATCAAATATGTGATTATAAACTTTTGTATTGTTTGTAAACCAACAAGCAGACTGGTGAGATATATAGAGCTAAACAGGAACTAGATTTTAGATTCAACTATATTACAGATACAGCTATGGTTTTCCCAGTTGCAATGTATGTATGGCTGTGAAAGTTGGACCATAAGGAAGGCTGAGCGCCAAAGAACTGAGGCCTTTGAACTATGGTGCTGGAGAATACTCCTGTGAGTCCCTTGGACTGCAAGGCGATCAAACCGATCAGTCCTAGAGGAGATCAACCATGCTCTTTAGAAGACCAGATCCTGAAGATGAAACTCATCTACTTTGGCCACCTAATGAGAAGGAAGGACTCATTGGAGAAAAGCTTAATGCTGGGAATGATTGAGGGCAAAAGAAGAAGGGAAGACAGAGAATGAGGTGGCTGGACGGAATCACTGAAACAGTCGGAGTGAGCGTAAATGGACTCTGGGGGATGGTAGAGGACAGGAAGGCCTGGAGGAATGTTGTCTATGGGGTTCCAATGGGTCAGACACGACTTTGCGACTAATAACAACATATTACAGAAACATCACAGGGCAAATCTGGTTTACATGATTCTTAAAAATACATAGATCATAAAGATGTATATACCTTGCTACCCTTTTAAACCATTTCACCTTCCAATCAGGTACAATACTATTATTAAAATACTAGGAAACATATAGTGAATAATAAATATACACTATCCACTGATATTCCTAACAGCACTTATAAAAGCATGTCAGCATTATTATCTCTCATAGTGAAAGGGCAGGAGGAGAATGACTTACCTGAGTCTATTCAATGACAAAATTCAAAGCAGAGACTTTTTGATTTGTAGTCTTTTGGCCACCAAAAGCGGTCTGGGCTCTAGTTAACTATACCGTATGTCCTCTTCTAGAAAGCCATGCTAGTCACCCACTATGTACCTATGAATCAGTTTTTCATTTTTATTTAGTAATTAACATTCCATGTGAATCATGCCATCTTGTATTTTAAATTATTTTTAAATATTTATTTCTACAAACATCCTTCTTAAAATCAGCTATTTTCTCAGTTTTTACTGCAGTCTCTACTGTGCTATCCATTAGAGGGAATAATATGTAATTGAATCCAACTCGGTCATGGTAAGTCAATTTTATGGTATAATGATAAAGAGTATACCCAACAGTAATATAACAATAGTTATACCATAAAGCTTGTGATACTACTACCGACTTGAAACAATTTTAGACAGAACACACATTTTTCAAAGTTCTTCTGAAAGAATACAGACACTCTATTGTTCCTTCAAAATGCATCTTTCACTTTGGAATGCTGGCATGCTAATGATCACACTTGTCTACTTTTAAATGTCAGTATTACACATAAGATATAATCTGGATATCATGTCACTTGGTGGCACACTTTATTAACTTTGCACTAGGGTAGCATATGGCAGACATACTTTTTTAAAAAAAACATCATTTAAAACAACATTAAAAGTCTTGCCTGGTAAAGTGTTGCCAGGTTTCTTTTTTAAAATGCTGGAGCTTATCTATGACATTGGCGTCTCATTAATATAGCACCTTCTGTTCTAAAGGGAGGAAACTTGAATCTTTCAGCCTTCACCGTTCTATCACAATATCTTACAATTTGTCCAGGCATGTTTTAAACTGCCCAACTAAAAAAATGCCACCAGTACTGCAATTTTAGAGCAACTAGATACATTAAGCAAATAAACTAAAGACTGACTTCACATAAAAAGAAATATTAAAATAAGAACAGTTATTTTAGACTAGAAAAGAAAACTTTATTGTCACTTTAAATGTACATTAAATAACATACATTAAAATGAAATTTGCTGCATTCAGCTCTCAAAAGATAGCCATTATGCATTTACACACACACACACGACACAGAGAAACACCACAGTCTAGTTCAAATGTGTACATGGTGAAAAAAAGGAATCCTGCAAGTGTACAAGATGGATGGTACATGGAACAAAGCTGTTACAGAATCTAGTATTCCTGCTGTAGACACTTTGAAACCTCCTCCCAGAGGGGAGAAACAGACTGTGAAGTGGGTGTATGGGGGGTCTCTAACAATGTTTTGAGCTCTAAGCACATAGCGCTTTTAAGCAGTATCCTGAATAACGGGAAGCGAGCTTCCTATAATCTTTTCAGCTGTCCTTGCCACTCTCTGTATGGACCTTCTATATGAGGCATGCTACCACCAAACCAAACAGTGATGTAATTTGTTAAAATGGTCTCAATCGTGCCTCTGTAAAAAGTGGCCAGGACAGAAGGAGAAAGATGTGCTCTCCTCATCTGATGCAGGAAATGCAAACACTGGTTTGTACGCTTCACTAAAGATAGCATATTTTTATATTGTCTGAAAAAAACTGAATATAGCTTTAAAAGCAATCTGGGACTACTTTGTCTAACCTAATTTTCAAAATGTTTTTATGATAATACTAACACTAGGTACAAATCTTTCATTTTAAAATATTAAAAATGTTCAAAACCGTTGTAAATTGACATTACAATTCAATAAAGGCAGGCAGGCACTAGAATATATTTCAACAGAGATTTTATTTCATTAAACAACAGTGTTGAAAGATTTTACTATATGATATACCATTTCTATGTAGGAAATATTCTTTTCAATAAAAGCTTAATGCACACTGAATAGTTATCTAAGAAGATTTTGGTTGATTTTTAGGTGTCACAAAATCAAATCTAATAAGGAGTTCTGTCACTATGTTAAACATTGAGAATATTTTCTTGTCTTTGCAATATAAAGCCTTAGTAACTATGGACACATACACAAAAGTTGTGGAAAAAGTTAGGTACAGCACAGGGAACAAATGGCTAGAAGCAGAAGCATTTAGAAGAAAATTGTACTGTGAATTAAAAGGCCATGATGCCATGACACCAATTTATCAATGAAAATATACTCTCCTGTACTGCTCTACCTCGCCTGTAAACATGCTCCTATCAAAAATCTTTGCATGTACTCAATCTATAGATGTATTAAGTAAAAGAACATAGGATTCAATTTCATCTCTGCAAACACTTAATTGTATAAGAGATTCAGTAGCTTAAGTTGTATTATTTTATACATGGAGTTAACAAAAAGGCCACAAATACAAAGAATCATAACAATGGTTCCCTTTATCTATCCCATCCATACATAAAATGATGGAATAATAAAGTACAATGTACTTATCTACATCACCCAGCTCCCAAGATCCTGGCCAATCTACACATTTGGTATATTTTTATTCATAAAACAGTTTTGATTACAAAGTAAGGTTTATAATGTGCATCATTATTATAGTAAGTTTATTTTTCAAAAATTCAGCTCCTAAATATTTCCTGTGTTGTTTTAAAGACTCCCCACCCCCACCCTCTTTGAGTCAGTCTTAATTCCTGGTGAACATAGACAGATAAATCCATGCAATTAATTGGCAACAATTTTTGTGAAATGATTTGCCATTGCCTTTTCCCTGAGAGTAAGAAAAAGTGGTCCAGCTAGTTTTATGCCTAAAATAGGTATAGAACTCATTTCCTCATCTTCTAGCCCAGTGCCTTTAACCACTGCACTGAACTGGCTCTTTTAATAAAGTTATCTTTTTTAAATGTTCTTTTTCTATCTCTTCTACAATTCCATAGTACCTTTTCTAATAATTTATAAGGTCTTACTTTTATTTTCTCCTCTACCTATTGCTACCTCTACCTTTAACAAGATTTTGCTTTTGTTTACAATTATTCCCTCCTTCCTTGCATAAGAAAGTTCTCTTAATAATCAGTTAATTAGACATATTTGGGCTATTCCTGCTGTTGTCAACTTCCAAATCAGCTAGGGCAGACAAGGACAGTCTTGTCAATCGTTTTACTACCTTACACAGCTTTACTTGTCTTCCCCTCTTCTACGAACTTTAGATCAAAAGTCTTTTCTTTGTCTACAATACTTAAGATCATAGCCACCTATCTGCTGAACAATGACAGCTCAGAAAGTCTCAGATCTTCCCTTCAAGCTTTGCCCCTTTTGCCAATGCAAAACAACTTTTCTCCTCCTAATGGACAGTATTTTTTCTTTAATTCTCTTAACCTCACCACACCATGCTGCATGCCCTCAAAAAGTATAATGAAATATGGAACTCATTTGTACAAAATAGAATAAAAAGCATGATATATAAGATATATCATATTTGCATTAGATAATTATATAGAGAATGGTAATTTTTACAGTTGTAACATATGTTCTATATTTTAATTTTTTGTATTTGAACCTATTATTTTTTGATAATGTAATATATATTTGTTTTGTTCCCTTTTTTGTCATTTTAAAAGCATTTAAAATATTTTATAAAAAGTTCTATATAAAAGTATGAACTTATATGATCTTGAAACCTCCAATAGCAAAAAGGGTAGACATGACAAAATTTTTCTGCTAAAACATAAGAATATATTAAAAAAAACAAGCACTACAACAATGTGAATTTTTTTCTACACTATTCAAAACTAATACAAAATGAAACCTTTTAAATGTATTTACGTGTTTTTAATGCATATAATTCATATTTATTGCAACTTGTTTTAGCCTCTTACCTGTACAACTTTGTAGAAATAGGCATATTGTCGGGCAGTATTTTTATACTGGCTAAAAATATCGTGTATGGCCTGAGTTGACTGAAGATATTGAACTTCATCTTCCTCAAAGTAAAGAGCAGTATTATATTCATTTGGGAGGGTCTGGATATAAGGTAGCCAGAAGGAATTAGGGTTGTATCGTTCACAGAGAAGATGAAAAGCTAATGTGATATTGCCCATAGCTTGGAGAATTCGATCTTGAGAATATAGAGAACCTTAAAAAGAAAAGAAAGAACCCTGTAAGAAAATCTTAGTCCCTCTAAAATTAAGGGGGGAAAACTTAACATGTATCTATTTTATACCAGAATCAATTTATCTCCTATCATAGGAGATAAATACACAAGACAATAATTTAAATATATATCATATTAAATATTAAGGAGGAAAGTACTGCAATGAAAAAATACAAAGGTAGCTTTTGTAAAAAAAGTATCACTATGGTTCTTTATTATTCCTAAGTCTTCTAACATAACATAACATTAAATCCACTGACACAATTTAGGTTTGTGGGATTATCTTCCTTCATTATATTATTTCATTGATTAAATTTTTTTCTGAGATGAACACAATAAATTGTAGTGATATGACTCGGGCAAACATTTATAATTAAGAATACTCAAACATTTATCAAATTTAGGAATTTTACTAAAATTTAAATCTTAACACAAATTCATAATTTCTCTCCAAGTTCCTTATATCATTACTTAAAAACAGACATTTAATTATTACTACTGTTAAACAAATGGTTGTCTATTAATTCTACCTGAGAACTTACAGCATTGTTCCATAGAAAACATCCTATAAATACACCTTAGATTTATCTGTTAATACTTTCAAAAACTCTTCTTACCCAGGATTGAATTTTTAGCTGACTCTACGGTCATTAACAATTTTCTGGGAACCCAGAGAAAAAGTTCTTCTGCCTATAAAAGCCACAAAAATAGTTCACAATATTATATATATCAAATAAACATAACATTTTAGATAGCAACCCAGCTCTTTTTTTGCAAACTTAAAAAATATTACATGAGTTGCATGTCTTATCTATTGGGCTTCCTAATGGATATGTTCTTGGTCACAAGTTAGTCATGTAATTGTTATTTGCCTAGGCACAAAATAAGAGATTGGCTTGCGTGTACAATTCTCTTTATGTGGGCTATTCCATGCCAAATGAACAAAGGAAGAACTATGTCAGACTCAAATTTCTGTAAATGTTTTCAACAAAATAGCATTTAGCAGTTAGAGTTAGAGTTAGATTTAGAATAGAATAGAATTCTTTATTGGCCAAGTGTGATTGGACACACAAGTAATTTGTCTTGGTGCATACACTCTCAGTGTACATAAAAGATGCATTCGTCAAGAATCATAAGGTACAATACTTAATGATAGTCATAGAGAACAAATAAGCAATCAAATCATATTAGGAAACAGTCAATATAAATTGTAAGGATACCAGCAACAAGATTAGAGTCATACAGTCATAAGTGGGAGGAGATGGGTGATAGGAATGATGAGAAGATTAATAGTAATGCTATTAATAGTTCATATAACCCAGTGGTTCTGTGGGCGTGGCTTGGGGTAATGTGACTGGGTGGGTGTGGCCAATTTCTTTTTTACCTTTAAAACCATTTTTCTACAACTTCTTCTGCAAAGAGGTTGTTAAAAAATGCTTTCAAAAGGTTCTGACGATCCCAGCTGAGTTGCCTGATTGGCAGAGACTTTTTTTCTTTTAAATGCCTCTGACGATCAGGCAACTCAGCTTGGACCGTCAGAGGCTTTTAAAAGAAAAAAAAGGGTTCTTTTCTTTTAAAAGCTTTTGATGATCCCAGCTGAGCTGCGCGATCATCAGAGGCTTTTTTTTTTTTACTTTTAAAAGCATTTTTTCGGCTGAAGAGGTTGTAGAAAAAATGCTTTTAAAAGTAAAAAAAAGCCTCTGATGATTGTGCGGCTCAGCTGGGCATGAGGGGGGGGGCAGGGATTTTTGCTACCGGTTCTCCGAACCACCCACCTCCATCACTACTGGATCGGGCGATCCGGTCCGAACCGGGAACATTTCACCCCTGATATAACCCATAGTATTTTACAGAACTCTCTGGCCTGTTTACAGTGTCAGGATATTGGCCCCAACAATTTTTTTTCTTTAAATGACGGTAATCCCTTGCAATGAGGAAGAGTTGGCATGATTGGAGTAGAGCACAGGTGTCAAACTCTCCGCGTCACATTGCTGTCATCGATTGTAAGGAAGATGAGCTCAGTTAGAGAGGAGCTATCCTATTTGGGTTATCTAGTCTTGGCAACTTAGCTATTGAAATTTGATATTGTAAAATTTTAATGTCATCTATCATATATTTTTAGATTTTTATTTTTGTAACCGTTTTATCCTTTTCCCTTTTTCTTTTCTGTTTTGTTTGAAAAGGCCTTTGGGCTATTCAATAAACTATACATCTCACATTGCTGTCATGTGACATTTCGCGACGTTTTTCCTTCGTAGAGCTGGGGGGGCGTGGCCCGTGTGTGACGCATCCAGCTGACAGGCTGCCAGTTTGAGACTCCTGGAGCAGAGCGTTTACTGGCTGGATGTCCCTTGATGCCTATGCAGAGCTCACAGCAGATATTTTCTCTCTGCACCCAGAATTATCTGAGACTACCTAGGATTGAATTCAGCTTCCCAATTGTGGGGCAAGAGCTCCACCTCTAGGCCACCACACCACTCATACTGCCCAACAATATGGGTCCTCATTTTACCAACCAAGGATGGAAGGCTGAGTCAACTCTGAGTTTGTCAGGATCGAACTCCTGGCTGTGGCCAGTTAGATTCCAATACTACATTTTTATCATTGTGCCACCAGGGCTCATAAAAAAGGAAGAAAACTTTTATATTTTCTGGCTACAGAAAACGTCTGTGATAACTTGCAGTAGCTAGTTTTGCAGTAGTTTATCTTAGATAGATAAAGGCACAAGACAAGCATAGAACTAGATCTTGACGTATGACCATTTGCTTAACAATGATTTGAAGTTATGACAGCACTGAGAAAAGTGTTTATGAAGTTATTTCACACCATCCAAATGGTCACATAATCTCAATTTGGGCTCTTGGCAACTGACTTGCATTTATGATGGTTGCATGGTCCTGCAGGCACGGAATTGTGATTTGTGACTTTCCAAATTGGCTTCTAACAAGTTAACAGAGGATTTTAATGATTATTACATTTACTTAATGAGATTGATGACCTGCTTAACGACCACACTGTTTAGCAACCAAAATTCTAGTCCCAATCATAATCGTAAATCTAGACTATTTGTATTAGCTTTCTTCCTAACTATTCATTATCATTCTGGAAATATTGGCAGAAAAGGTTTGAGATGATAAACAAATGCCAGGTCTTAAAATCTGTGGAGAGGAATAAGCTTAAATGTTATGCAGCCAAAATAGTATTAACTATTACAGAACTACAAAGGGCAATAAAACAGTTGATGAAAACAATTCACAACTTTTGAGAATTCTGTGGATATAAAATCAATGACCATAAAACAAAAATAATCAGAAGATATTTAACACAAGGAAAAATTAATATCTTGTGTGAAGAATCTGGCTGTCAGCTAACCCATTCAATAAACCATCTACATTTGATAGATAATAATCAAGAAATATATCAAAATTGGAAACACATATAGAACTATCCAGAGAATTTTGGAAATTAAATTTGAAATGAAATCACATTATAAAACAATTCAATATATTTTGCAACTGTTCATAAATGTTGTACTTGGCATTAATTGCACAATTTAAGCAATATTATGTTAATTAACATTTTAAAAAATTATATTTAACACTAATATAATTTTTCTAATATCATGTTAACAATTTCTAGTTTCTATTGCATAAATACCATTATTCTCAGCTATCATCTATATTGTTTAATATATTATTTGCATTTTATAATATAATAAAAGAATTATTGGTTTAACTTTGGAAAAAACCGCTGGGTGGGGTTTGCACTCTGCTGTGCAGAATGAAAAAAGCTTTCTCATATACGATTTAGAAGCATGTCACAAAGGGGTGTTTTGGCACTCTCCAGTCCATTTAAGCGCTTTATGCTTTTATTTTTATTTTTCACAGATGGAGGCAGTCCCATACAGCCTGGTATCCAGGCTGGGCATGCCTCATGAAGAGCAGGAGCAAGAGGATGATGGTGAAGGTCAGCTGGGACAGAAAGGGGCCAAAAGTGCACTAATGGGGGATGGGCAGGAGATGCAGCTCCTGAATTTTTATCACGATTGCATGAGTGCTGCAACAGTCATAATTTTGGGCATGGATCATAAGTCCATTAGTTCAGTGCTGTCAAAGATTCAAATAATTACTGAACAAATGCTTGTAAGTCAAGGACTACCTATTTTAATTATTGTAAGGATAAATTCTGATGTTAAGTATGAGGGAGGAGCACTAAGAAATATAACAGAATTTGAAATACTTATACAAAATCAGTACCATCTGTTAAGGCGGTATATATAAATTATTCAGATATGATATGGAAGGGGAACAAATAAACTGCATGATAAAGTGGATAGAAAACTTTAAAGAACTAGTCGCAACACAACAGTGGAAGAATTATGGTCCAAATTTATAAAATTTAAAAATCATATGTAATATTGATATACACTTATCTTTAAAAGTTTAATTTAGCTAAATGATCACAGTATTAACTATTTCTAGTTTTAATGAAATAAATAGCACTGTACTCAGTTATTATCTGTATTCTAAAATGTATTATTCAGACCTAATGCAATAGAACAATAAACTTGAAAAAAATTACAGACATTATATATGAGATTTTAATTGCATTTTGGAGCATGACATCTCTGAAAAGGTGAAAACCTCTATTTTTCCCCCCTCTGAAATCATATATTGAGGAGAGGTATGTGTTTATGTGCCTTCAAGTCAGTGTTGATTCCCAGTGACTGCCTGGACAAGTTACTGCAGTTTTCTTGGCAAAGTTTTTCAGAAGCGATTTGCCATTGCTTCCTTCCTAGGGCTCCATGAAGAGAAGTACTATCATACTAAATATGTACTTGTGTGTTTAGTAACTCTTAAAATAATTAGTTGCTTAAAATTTAATATTTATATTATTTATTTCTGTATGTTGACTTTTATATTCATCATGGACATAATGAAATTTATGAGGTGAACTGACCAATATTAGTTGTGTGAGCCAAGTAATTCCTAGGTCCACTTCTATACAGGATGAGATTCCTAACAGATGTTTTTCTTGAAAACTAATAAAGGTGGGATATAAATTAATTACTGTATTTTTCAGTCTATAAGACGCACTCCCCTCAAAAAAAAAAATGGGTGGAAATGTCTGTGTGTCTTATAGAGCGAAAGTTTCCGAAGCCCCGCCCACCTGCTGGCCTCTACCCTTCAGGCAATTTTGGCCTCTGTGTGCCCCATTTTCGGCCTCCGCACACCCCATTTTTGGCCTCCGCACGCCATTTTCAGCCTCTGCGCATCCCGTTTTTGGACCGTTCCAGGCAGTAAGGATCGCCACCGCTGCCTATTGCTGCTGCCAATTGCCACCACCATTCACCGCCAGCGATGATTCCCACTGCCTGGAAAGACTGAAAACGGGACACAGAGAGGCCGAAAATGGGATGCCGTTGTCGGAGGTGATCCCAGCAGCCTGGAACAGCTGATTGGCAGTATTCTGGGAGGCCAATCCAACCGCCAATCAGCTGCTTGTGCTAAATCAGGCTGTGATAACGTGCTGAAGCTGACCAGGCTGTTTGCTGCAAGGACGCTAGCCAGATGAATACCGATGGATGCTGGGAGGCAGAAGCAGATATTTTTTTTCTTGTTTTCCTCCCCAAAAGCTAGGTGCATCTTACGGTCCAGATTGTCTTATAGCGCAAAAAATACTGTAATTATTTAGTATCTAGTACCATTTCTGAAAAATCTGGCAGGACTGTAAGCACTAGTGTAAGCTACATACATTTTTTTCTGACCAAAATAAGTATATATTTCAGAGTAAATTAACTTGGTTATTGTCATGCCCCCATCAGAGCCTGAATCTGCGGAGGAAGAAGAGCCGGAACTGGAGCCGACAGAGATTGAGGGGGTGGCTTCATTGGCTTCGGAGGAAAATGGGGAGGAGCAAACCCAGTCAGGCCAGGGCCTTTCAGGATTGGGACGGTTTGAAGACACGGAGGAATGGGGGCAGGATTAACAAGAGAGTCCAAGCAGTGAACATGACAGAGCTCAGGCAATGAGCAAGGACCACCCCCACCTGATCCTAAAGCACGGAGAGTGGAGAGAAGGCGAGAACAGCACAGACTGACCCAACTACTCGGGAGGAGAGCACCCTGCCCCTCTTCACAATGCACACCTGGGGACTGAGACTTAAGGAGACGCTGCTGTCAAGAACGAACGCTGAATTCATGGAGTGTTGAGTGCCAACGTTTGAACTTTCCTGGATTCCTTGCATTCTTTCTGGCTTTCTGGATTAATTGTCTTGCTCTTTTGCTTCCTGGCCTCCTCAAGTTGCCTTGCTGGATTTCTTGCTTTGCAGCCATTGTGCTCACAGGATTGGGCTGGACTATTTGCAGCCAGAGGCTGCCGGAGGTGTGTGTGTGTGTGTGTGTCATCACTTTGCTCTGAGAGTTGCCAGAAACGTGGGAGCGTTTGGGGAAATTTGGAGAAATAAAGTAGTGGTTTGAACTGCCAGCTGCCTGTGTTACCTCTGTGCCATGCCCCGAGTCATCAGTTATATTTGGAAGAGAAGAAGTATAACTTAGTTCTCTGACAATTATAAAAAGCTGGCAAATCTATCCAAGCGTAATGAAATATTGTGACACTTTTTTGCCATCCCTTAAGCAAAGGAGGGCATACATAGGCAACCACCAGCATTTCAATCATAATCTTGCAGTATTCCAAGATTGCAACAGTGAAATCCAACTTTAAAATACCCATTTTAGGAAATCCCATTTTTCATGGTATTCTTTCCGTCCAAAATTATGAATAGGAATGGAATCACACATTTTTCTCTGTGGTTACCTATGGTATATTACTTTTTAAAGACATTCAGATTATTTTGATTGAAGCAGGATTAAATATTTAGAAATAAGTAAGTAGAAAAAGATAAAAAAGCAAAGTAATATTTTACTCACTTTTATATCTTGTGTTGCTTTTAATCCAAAACCCTCTTCTCCAAAATTAGCTACTTCAAAACCATCTGTGGCTGCACCATTCTCTCCAGCCCATTTTATTAATTCAGAGAAATAATCTTCTCTTTTTCCATCAAATATAATAGATAAACCTGTGTTCACATTTAATGGGAGACAAAAATACACAACAAATTCCTATTAGTAAGCCTATGTACATTATTCATTTATCACTGCTATTATGTGGAAAACAGTAACGAACTCAAGAGTGCATCCTGAGTGTATATGCAAGCAAACTACATGTATTTCTGAGCTGGTTGTATTGGCATCAATAGTTGGCTTGTGACAGCAGGGAAGGAGCAGCACATTTTATGACAGCTGGAAGTGCTTTATGGGCCATAATTCCAAATGACCATAAAATAACCAAGTCATTAATCACGACTCATTCAGCAACTGTCCAAAGTTACAATAGTGCTGAGTGAGTAGTACTTACAACCAGTCTTCAAAGTCCCAGCTGCCTCAGCAACCCCATGATCATGTGAGCAATCTAGGCACTTAGTAACCATCTTATACTAACAATGATTGCAGTATCCCAGTCACATGATTGCCATTTGTGATCTTCCATCTGCCTTCTCACAAGTAAAGTCAATGGAGAAGCCAGTAGAGAGGATTACAAGTTGTTCCTGTAAATAGTTTTCACTCCCAACACTTTCCTTTTTCCCCTCTCACAGTCCACAGCACCCATTCTCCACCTAGTTGAACTCACACATGGGTGCAGAAGCCACCCATATGCCTTCTCATCCTTTGGAACATCCACCCCATATGTGGTCATACTAATGCCAGACTGCAGCAGCCACATGCACAGCCTCCCACTCTTCAGAGCACCCACCTCCAGTCTAACTCATACCACAGCAGCCATTTACCTGCACACTAGCCTATTTGTGAGCAGGCCAGAACTTGTAACTTCCTACCAACTTCCTCACTAACTTTGCTTGTTGGAAGCCAGTTGGCAGTCACAAGGAGAACTTAATGGCCTGTAATCTTTGCTTGACAACACAACATGACTGCAAGGATTGCTGTAGTCATTTTCCATCATTAAATGAGAACTATTTATTGTGGATATGTGCTGCTACAGAGTTGTAGTTTAAGAAAACGGTTTAGTTGTGTATATTAGTTTGGGTAATGTAGGCAATCCTAATCATATAAGGTAAGATTATAAATTCTATAAACTGTACAGTCAATAATACATTTGGACTCTTTTGATATCCCCAGTTCTATATGTTCTATAGCTATATATAGAATACATATTCTAAACATGTTTTTCATGTGGAATCATAGAATATATAATGTCAAGGGAAAAATATTACACTAAGTTAGAAAAAAAGTTTAACTTGGAAAATATAAATAGAATTCAATAGTATTTCCTGTTTGCAGAAGTGCATGTTTGGTACAAACAAACGTCAAGGATCATATGAATGCTGATACCTTTGTATCATTTGTTTTTGTGTATGACATTACTCCAATTTGTTGAAAATCATTCCCATTATTAATGGACATAAACTTGAGAGAAGAACTGAAGCTTTAGCTAATGGTTTAACATTAGCCTCAATGCACTAACCTCAACTTTAGGTACAGGTATTCCTTGCTTAATAACTGGTCACTTAGTAACCATTTGAAGTTATCATGGACTCCTCCCAAAATATATTAACAACCTGGTTCCAGAATTCCGATGTGGCAGTCCCTTCCCCCTGTGGCCACACGATTGATTGCATTTTGGGCACTTAGCAATCAGTCCCCCTTTATAGGCAGTTGCAGCATTCCATGGTCACATGACATGATTTACAACTTTTGCAGGGAACTGGCCTTTTGGGCCACTTGACTGTCATGACTTATGATGAAACTGGTCTCATATGAGCATTCTTCCCAAAACAGAGGTAACGGACGTTGCTTACCTGAACGTCCCTTCTCGACGCGCTGCTGGAGAATCCAAAGCTTCGGGTTATTCAATAGTCGAGTAGCCTACACTGAGTGTGTTCCTTTAAATTTCTTCTTCAGACACGCCCACTTGCTTGACAGAGCCTCAGTTTTGTTCACGAAGGAGAGGTCATTGTAAGTCGTCAGGGAAGAGTCCGCAGCAGCCAGGCTGGGTGGGTTGGATTCTCCAGCAGCGCGTCGAGAAGGGACGTTCAGGTAAGCAACGTCCGTTCTCCAACGCGCTGCTTGGAGAATCCAAAGCTTCGGGATGTACCCAAGCAAGTTCAGATAGGGGGGGTTGGCTGCTGAGTGGCGTCTGAAGAAGGACACACAGATTGGAGAACACGGCGACCAAAGGACGCCTCCGCCGAGGCGAAGGAGTCTACTTTGTAGTGCCTGATGAAGGAATTCAATGAGGACCAGGTAGCCGCTCTGCAGATATCAGCAACGGAGGCATTAGTGGCCCAGGCGGCCGTAGTGGCGGCACTTCTGGTGGAGTGAGGGAGGATCCTTGGTGGAACCGGTCTGTTCTTCGAGGAATATGCCCGGGAGATGCAAGACTTAATCCATCTCCCGATAGTCGTAGAGGAGACCTTCCGGCCCATAGAGGCGGATAGAAAGGAAACAAAGAGCGCCTCCGATTTGCGGAAGTGCTCTGTCCGCTTAATGTATCTGCGAAGGGCTCGGCGGACATCCAGAAGGTGCCAGTCAGCTTCCAGGGGATGCCGAGGATTCGGGCAGAAGTCCGGGAGGATCAATTCCTGGGCCCGATGGAAGGCAGAGTTTATTTTAGGTAGGAACGAAGGGTCCAGTCTCAGTACAACGCGGTTCGTGTGAAAAACACAGAGGTCCTGTCGCACAGACAAGGCCGCAAGTTCGGATATGCGGCGAGCAGACGTAATTGCAACCAGAAAGGCTACCTTGAGGGTCAGGAATCTGAGGCTGACGGATGCAAGGGGTTCGAATGGAGGGCGTAAAAGAGCCTGCAGGACTAAAGTCAGGTCCCAGGATGGGTAGCGATGGACGGCTGGTGGACGTAGGTTGGTTGCTCCTCGTAAAAACGCGTGAATCGCCGGATCCTGCGAGAGAGGAAGATTTCCGGGAGTCGATAGAACAGTACTCAGCGCGGCAACTTGTCGCTGAAGCGTGTTGGGAGCGAGGTGCTTATCGAAACCGTCCTGTAGGAACCCCAGAACCTCAGGAACGGAGGCAGACGTAGGGTCCAGGTGCGACTTTGTGCACCAGGCACAGAAGGAAGTCCAAGACACGTCGTAAATCCGGCAAGTAGACGGTCGTCTGGAGGCCTGAATAGTGGGAATAGCGCTTTTGGGCACATTGCGTTTTCTCAGTCGGATCCTCTCAAGCGCCAGGCGGTCAACTGCAACCACTGGGGTTCTGGGTGCAGTATGACCCCCTGGCTGAGAGAGATCCTGTTGTCTGGTATCCGCCACGGAGGCGCCGCCGATAGGTCCATCAAGTCCGCAAACCAGGTCCTTCGAGGCCAGTGGGGTGCGATCAGGATAACGTTTGCCCTTTCTGCTACTATCCTGCGAATCAGGCGGGGAAGGAGAGGAAGGGGTGGAAAGGCGTAGAGGAGACCCGTCGGCCAGGGAGACGTGAGAGCGTCGACCCCTTCTGCTTGAGGACATGGGTACCTGGTGAAGAACCTGGGAAGGTGTGCATTCTCGCGGCTGGCAAATAGGTCGACCAGAGGCATGCCGAACCGGCGAACGAGTTCGGCGAACAGGGCCGGATGGAGACGCCATTCGGCGTGGTCCAGATGCTGCCTGCTGAGCCAGTCCGCCTCGGTGTTCAATGACCCTGCGATGTGTTCTGCTGTCAGCGATAGAACATGCTGTTCTGCCCAGGTCAGTAGAAGAGTCGCCTCCTCCATAAGTAGCCTCGATCGTGTTCCTCCTTGGCGGTTCACGTGCGCCTTTGCGGTGACATTGTCCGTGCGTATCAAGACATGATGCCCCGCCACCATTTGCTGGAACCGAAGGAGAGAGAGACGGACCGCACGCAGTTCCAGCCAGTTGATCCCTTTGAGGCGCTCCTCTGGAGACCAGGTGCCCTGAGCAAGGTGAGAGCGAAGGTGACCTCCCCAACCTGAGAGGCTGGCGTCCGTTGTTACTACAAGTCTCTGCAGATTCTGAAAGAAACAGCCGCGCATCAGTCTCGGAGAAGTCCACCAGTGGAGGGTCAGAGTGACCTCTGGCGGAAGAGACACCCGAGCAGATGAATTGCTCCGTCTGGCCCTCTGAAAGGGCAGGAGGAACCACTGTAGTTGGCGAGAGTGGAACCTCGCCCAAGGGACGACCAGCAGACAGGAGATCATTTTCCCGAGAAGGCGGGACAGGAGAAGCAATGCCACACGTCGGGAAGACAGAACCTGAGATGCCAAGGACTGGAGGCTGGAGTAGCGGTCCGCCGACAAGAATACCTGGCCCTTTACCGAATCTATTACGGTGCCCAGGTGAAGGATTCGTGTAGTGGGTTGCAATTGGCTCTTCGGGATGTTGAGAGAGAAGCCGTGTTGGCGAAGGCAACAGCACACTATCTGCAGGTCCCGGGAGGCTCGGGTCGGAGTGGAAGAGAGAACCAGTATGTCGTCCAAGTAGCAGTGGAGCCGCACTGGCTGTAGACGTAGGTGGGCCGCTACTGCTGCCAGGAGCTTCGTAAAGGTTCTGGGGGCAGAGGAGAGGCCGAAGGGCATAGCCCTGTATTGGAAATGCCTGTTGTCGTAGGCAAAGCGGAGAAATCGACGATGTGAAGGTCGAATGGGCACGTGGAGGTACGCTTCTTTTAAATCTATAGACGTCATCCAGTCCGAAGGTCGAATGGACGCCAGAATTGAGCGTAGAGACTCCATCTTGAACTGATGATAGATGATAAACTCGTTCAGCCTCTTGAGATCTAATATGCCCCTGTAACCCCCTGAAGCCTTGGGGACCAGGAAGAATATTGAATAGAATCCGGTCCCCCAATGTTGAGGGGGAACCGGTTCTATGGCCCGTATTTGGAGGAGGTGGTGGATCTCCGCCGCCATCAATTGACGCTTGGGTAGATTGGATGGAAGAGGGCACTGTATAAAGCGAGAAGGGGGACGAGACTGGAACTCCAGGGTAAGTCCAAGGCGGATAGTTTGCAGAACCCAGGCGTCCGTCGTTGAGGCCTCCCA